GTCTGTATGTGGGATCCGAACCCTCAGCGGGAGCACCGCTGCACTCCCAAGCGGCGCACTGCAGCAGTGCGCCACCGGGCCGGCCCATATCCCATTCTTTTTTTCAAGTAAATTCCTACAGGTGGGTATTTGAATCATATCACAAACTGTACTCCAGAAATCTGTGCTTGTTTGAAATTATAAGTACTGGGTTTTATAGAATGTGAATTTCTGAGGATCAAAGGTTGTCTGACCTATAGTATTCAACCTATATAGTGAGGCCAGATCTCCTGTTGGAGCCACCCTTGAAATTAATAGGCCAGCTTTTATCTCTTTGAGCTGGCATTAACCCATGCTGCGCATTAAACTGTTCAGCAACTGCCACGCAGTGGTCCACACCTTAACTTCCTGGCCGGCCACTGAGTATATTGTACTTCAGTCATTTTCCTGGGTTTACTTTTGCTAGTTTCAGTACACACATTTTGCTCTCCCTGCACATACTCTCTTCTTCCTGCCTATTTATATGCTTGTAGATTCTTTGGAAAATATTTAGCATATTTTGTAAAAACAAGAGTAAATGGATCTCTTCATATTTTTCACTTTCCACAATGTCATGTTCTTCCTTAACCATTTGCACCTATTCTACTAAGAAGTATCAAGGCAAAGAAGAAAACTCAGATGTTCCTTGTCGGAAACGTAAGGTCTTACATCTTGTTTCCCAGTGGATTGCTCTGTACAAAGACTGGTTACATGAAGACGAACACTCAAAAATGTTTTTAAAGGTAAGCTAACACTTCCAGATATTCTTTGATACTAATGACTGATTTTATTTTTAATTATGTATTTCAAAAATCTCATTTGTAGGTAACAGTCATTCAGCTTTTTTGTGTTAGTCAAGTTGTGATTCAAAGAAAATATAAATTCATTTTGACTTCTGAGGACTGATATTCCCTACATTAAAAAAAGTTAATTTTTAAAACTTTAGTCATGAAAAAATATAGAAGGAAAATTTTACATTCATTAATTTAAGATTATTTAGTTTATATGTCATGAGGATTTTGACTGCAAATGGAATAATTAAGGAAGATAACCCAAAATATACTTCAAAATACAATACTTCTTACTACATTGAGATTTATTATGAGTTTGAACTAACCAGTCCCTTACATACAATATTTGGATAAAACATTATCGTTTAAAAACTATATTGACAATATGCATTATGAAATATTTGTCAGACATGGCATAGTTTGAGACTTTTAAGCAATAATTTATAAAATAGATACTAACCTAGATTTACATTTGGAATTAAACTGATTTATGTTTCTAATCTAATAGACTACAACATCTTTTCAACATGGATGATTCTCTGGTGA